ATAATTAGAAGTTAAATCCTTAGTTACTGAGATATTTTATCTCACCTTTTATTGTTACTATTTTTTATGTGATAATTTTAATGACGCTGTGAAGGTCGACCAGTGATCTTCCCTTCCTCATATAGACCATATCATTGTGCCATATACTTGATATATGTATTATAATAAGGAGTTATTGTACAACTGCTAGTATTAGGGTTTTTCTTAACATTGGTTGAATGGGCTACAAGCTAGCCTGCGTATTTTAAGGGTTGGGATGGGCTAACTCGTCGAATAAAACGACTCCAACCCATTTTCCCAACCCACAAAAATATACCAAATTTTTTAACAATTTAAAATTTATATAATATAAATATATATTTTTATTTCACATTTTAAGAAAAATTAGCAATTAAAAAATTATAAATAAATAAAATAAACATAGAATTCAACCAAAAAATTTATTTTGCTAGATTTTTATTATTAATCATCTTCCCACCTACATGTGTTATCTTTCTAACTAAGAAAGAAAATTTGAATATAGGCCCATATTATTTTTCTCAATGAATTCATATTTGTGATTTCAATCAATAGAATTATGAGATTAACAAATAATATATATTCAAAACATTTCTATAAAAACTAATAAATTATCAATTTCATATGGGCCTACAGGGTTGCACACAAAAACAGCCCAATTCGAGTTATAATGTTTAAATTTATTGAATTTAAAATGTGTTTAGATTCAATGCTTTATCTAAGGTGAATAAAATATATATATATATATATGAATATTTATTTAATAAATATGTATATATATATATATATGTATGTATTCATGTGTATGTGTGTATATATATGTATATGATATATAAAATTTAATATATATATATATATATATAATATTTTTGAAATATATACATATTCGTGTGTGTGTGTGTAATATGATATGTATATGTGATATATATATATTATATTATATTATATTATATTATATTGTGTTAGTTTTAAATTTAATTCTATATGATAGATTAAATTTAATAACTAACATGATATGAGATAATATCATATCAATTTTATAATTTAAATTTGTAAGATAAATTTAAATTAGCTATGATATTATAGATTTTACTTATGAGATAAATTTAATTTATTTTTTCATTGGATCTTCAATAGAAAGGCAAAAACCCTAATCCATATATATTATAGATTAGGACGTGCTTCATATAGTTTTTGAGAGAGTAACAAAAAGTTCTGACAATAAAACATATTGAGAGCCACTAAAAATTCCTAAAGAAGAGTAGTTCAACATTCAAGAAAATAAATGAATGTTTCAAGCGCTAGCATGCCGTTTGAGTTGCAAGTTATTTGTGTGTATATCAGAAAAGGGGGCAGATTTACGTTGTTAGCTCTTGAGATTCAATTACTTGCAGACAACATGTGAAGAGCTCGAAATTAAAAGATAATTCTTCTATCTACTTTGACTTAAACGAGTTCATTAAGTCCACATCAGGATAAGGATTTAAATTTTATTCTTCCACTGCACCTTCTTATTCAATAGTAAGTCAAAATCTTTTTAATCATAGTAGTTCATCAAGTTAAGCATTTTTCCTTTTTTATTATGATTAGTCATTTTTCAATTGTAGTTAAGCCCTATCTACTATGTAAGATAGTCTGGGGTGGTTACCTTTTAATTATTTTGGTAGAGTTTAATAATGGTGGTTAAGTATTTGGTTAGAGGAGGTCACATTAAAATTTCCTATCACCATGCTTGTTAAAATATTACACTTGTTAGCTTTCACACTCATGCTTATTAATGCATTATGGTTATTTAGCCATTTTTCATATGTATGCTTGTCAAAATAATGCACTCGTAAGTTTTCATTACCATGCTTGTTAAAATATTAATACACTTGTTGTCTTCCATATGTATGCTTGTTTCAACAATACTTTTACCATCTGACATTATAGGGGTTATTGTTGCTGGTATATTAAGTTATAGACTCTAATAGTCTTAAAGCAAATTTGAGGCTTTTAAAGCATATTATGTAGACTTATTTAAATAGGTTTTCAAGTCAAGTTATGCTTTGATGGGCTTAGACTTGAGTTATTAAAAAAAAAAAATTCAGACCAAGCCAGACCTCTATCATACCATATAAGCTCTAGCCTATTTGGCTAAAGTCTTGTCAAACCTAACCTATTTCTAGTTTTATTGTCATCTTTTTCTCTCCATTCCTCTTCAATCAAATAAGAGTGTTGAAAATATGTTTAGGAAAAATATAAATTTTTCTTCTTAATTTTTTTTTCAATTATCAATTTAATTCCTAAATGTTTCCTAAAAACAAATCAATCCTTATAATTATTAAGGTATAGAATTATAAAAAATGCATTTTTTTGGTTAAAAAGGTGTAGAATAAATTTTTGGGAACTACACATAAGTCCCACATGGCATATTTAAATACTCAATAGTTGCTATGTGTGTGTTTGGTTTTTTGTTGGATAAAAGTTAGTTCGTCAAAAGTTTATTTAATAAAAATCAATTTAGTAAAAGTCAGTTGTTATAACGAAATTTATGATTGTATATATTTGTTTAAAAGTTAATTTAATAAACTAAAAGTTGTTTAAATTATGTATAGTAGAATGTGCTTTTGAATGCATAATTATCAACAAGGACATTGATTTACAATAATGTATAATTTTTATTATATAAATATAATATATTAGAAATGTTTTAAAATGTGATAAAAAATTTTAGCATAAAATTTTATATGTTGAATAATAAAAAGTAGAAATTAATATGAAGTTTGATAAATTGTAAAAAAATATTTATATATTTAATGTTGATTAAAATTAAAAATTTAAAAAGAAACTTTTTTTTAATGGTACTATCTGAAACTAGAAGGAAACAACAAAAGAAATTAAATGAAAAGAAGATTCCATTTCAAATTTTGAAGCCTGAAACCAATGTTTTTAGAACCAAATTAGATATTGAATTGAAAAGGTTTGCAATTCAAGTTTCAAATGGTTCAATCGGGTTAGATCAATGATTAAACCAATGGCATAATAATTAAATTAAAAAATTATATATGTATATAATAATTTAAATATAAGAAATAAATATAAAATTACTACTTAACTTAAAAATAAAACCAAATATTTTAAATTTATTATGACTTAAGAAGCCATATGATATAAACATAACATCAAATGATTAAAAAAATTGATCATTTTTTAAAAAAAATTTTAAAAAAGAATTTTTTGCATAGTTCGGTTTTTGAAAATCGGGTTTAGTTTTTGGTCCAAAACGGCTTAACCTCCAAAATAATTTTTACATGTTGATCAAACTGAAATCTAGACTGGTCCGAGGTCAGACTAATTCGACCATCCAGTCTAATTTGATTTTTTAATCACTGATATAAACAAAAGGAGGGTATATTATGGGCAAAATTTTAAAATGTTCTGGAAAGAACTTTTAAAAAGCCACTATTTTTAACTTTTGAAAAAACATATTTAATAGTAGTTTGGAAAGTACATTTGAAATGAACTTAATAAAGGAAATCTATAACTAAACAACATTTGAGTTCTAATTACATCTTTAAAGGAATTTCTAAACAACAACTGACTTTTGCCAAAAATTTATTTTTTATAAATTCATTTAGCAAAAGTCAATTTAGTAAAAGTCAGCTGTTGTAATAAAATTTATATTTAAATATATTTTTTAAAAGTTAGTTCAATAAACTGAAAGTTGTTTGGATGATATATAATGAAATGTACTTTTAAATATATAATTATTAAAGAGGACATTGATTAATGATGGTTTGTAATTTTTGTTATATAAATGTAATATATTAGAAATATTTTAAGAATGTGATAAAAAATTTTAAAGGGGTGCTCTATTAAAAATGTTTGGATGATACACAATGAAAAATAATTTTAAATATATAGTTACTAAAAAAGACATATAGAATTTATTACACGCAATTCTGGTTATGTATAATTTGATTTATTAAAAAATTATATAAACAGTGGTATAAAATTTAAAATGGTTAATAATATATATATAATAAAAGAATATAAATAATATAAAATTTTATATGTTGAATAATATATATAATAAAGGTGTATAAATAATTTTTAAATATAAAAAAATATAAAAAAATTATTTTTAATATGAAAATAAATTATTCTTTCCTTCTTAAAACACTGGCAAAATGATGATGAAAATAATGCAAGAGGCTAGAGCTGCATGTGAGTTTTGTGGTCTGTAATGACAGGTGAAGAACAAGGGCAACATAGGAACTTTAGAAATTTTATATATCTCATCATATGCTCATCTAGCTTTTCCAAATGCAAAAGTATCTCTAGTGTGTTTTTACTAAGTGGACTTTCAACAACATTTAAAATGTACTTTAGGGAAATGCTTTTATTCTTAAAATCTTATCAAAACAATATTTGACTTTTAAAAAGTGTAAAAATACATTTTAAAAACTAAATATAAGATATCCAAACACATTTTAAGTTGTTAATAAATCTTGAGATATTTAAACGTGTTACGAGGAATTTCAAAATAATTCTTCTTCTCAAAAATTTTTTGAGTCAAGAAACTATAAAGACGTGATTGTTCATAATTAAAATTCAAGATTAAGTATTAAATGGGTGTGACATAGACGGTAACAATTTGAATTCCTTAAATATTATTATAGATTTTGATTCTTGAAGATGTGTATGAAGAGTATCTCTTAAAAAAAAATTTAAGACTAAAATGATAATTGAAAAAATTATAAAAAAATTTCGTTGTCATAATTTTATTTAGTGAGAATAAGTAAAGAATGAATTTATAAATAAAAAAAATTATATTCTTTTTTTTTCCCCCAGAAAAAACCTAAATTCTCAAACCAACAAATTCAAACGGTTTTCGTAGCGAAAGTAAGACTGTGAGACGAGTACAACAAGCCATATCGGGTTCGGATTGGACGGACGGAAGGACTTAACCGTAATTTGGAGCTGATAAAACCCTCGACACCTCAACACCAAAATTTACTCTTCACTGCAAATGGACTCGTCTCTTCCTCCTCCATACCTCTCCGATGCTGCAATGTCGCAGCAGAGCCAAATTCCTTTAAACCCAATGGTTCCTCAAAATCCAATGGTTCCTATGCCTATGCAGGTTCCTATGCCCATGCCTTTGCAGATGCCGATGCCTTATCAGATGCAGATGCAGATGCCCATGCCCCTTCACATGCCTTTCCCGCTACCCCTTGCCATCCAGGAAACCGGCCAATCGGCCTCTGGGAAGCGCCGCCGAGAAGACGAAGCTCCCGGCACCGAAGTGGCCGAGCAGTCGGCGGCAAAGAGGGTAAAGGGTCAGGACGTGATTTTCAGGATCGTGGTGCCGTCGAGGCAGATCGGGAAGGTTATCGGCAAAGAAGGTTGTCGGATACAGAAAATTCGAGAAGATACGAAAGCCACCATAAAAATTGCTGACGCTATCGCTGTAAGTCTTTATTAGGTTTATTGATATTTGTCGAGTACTTAAGAAAGGGAGCGAGCAAAGGATTAAGTTGTATTTCTCCCTTCTGGCAAGAGGCATTCGATATCTTATATTGAAGATCGTGAGGAGCTAAATAAGTGAATTTTGGTAGCAATGTGAACATTTTTGGGGGCAATAATTCGTTTCATTAAGATGAAATAGTGAAGGTGACTCGTGAACCAGTTGGGAATCTGATGAAGGAGCATTCTTTCATGGATGAGCCTTTTTAGTTTTTGAACATGTAATTGTATTTTAACCTTTGGCAAGACACTGATAGATTACATGAGAAAACCAATTTACCTGAAGCATTCTAGTTGGAAATCATGAATATGATCTGGCACTGACAATTTTGGCTCCTTAAAGATTGTATGAAGAATTGAATATTTCGTCAGTGATCTCGTTGTGTATACAAGGCATGCTTTTAGTTGACTGTAAGGGGAGGTATTATTTTGGTAATAAATTGCTTCTCAGATTTACCCTCTTATATCAAGTTTTCATATCCTATTTACTTTCTGATCTATTTTTTTGTAAGACATGCCCTCCTTTTATGGTAATGCCTGGTCTCTGTTTTTTTTTTTTTTTAAGTAAGAAGGGAAGGAGAAATTTTGACCATATCCATTTAGGGGAACTTTCAGGTTTGCTGATATTGATATATTGTCTACTTCTCCAGAAAAGCGTTTGGCATGAAGGGCCTATTGTTTATAGCTTTTAAGCAGTGGATTCTCAGGTTACTGCCATTTACTGAACCCAATCTCACATTTTTGTTTGTTCAGCGGCATGAAGAACGAGTTATCATCATTAGTTCAAAAGATAATGATGAAAACATTACTGATGCTGAGAATGCTCTCCAGCAAATTGCCAATTTAATTTTAAAGGTATATTTCTGAATTCATATTAATAATTCATTTGGCCTTGTTTGTCTTTTTAAACTATTTTTAATCTGCGTAAAAAATACGCATCCTATAACAGGAAGATGATGGCAATTTCGATGCATCAAAAGTCACAGCAGGACATGTGGCTGCCAATACAATAAGGCTTTTGATTGCTGGGTCCCAGGCGGGTGGTTTGATTGGGGTGTCAGGTCAAAACATTGAGAAGTTAAGGAATTCCTCTGGTGCCACAGTTACTGTTCTTGCTCCAAATCAGTTACCTTTGTGTGCATCTGCTCATGAATCTGATCGAGTAGTACAGGTGGGCTTTTGCTACTTTGATTCTTGTCATTTATGATAATTGGGCATTCACCTACAATGTTCTGATTTCAACATGATTACTAATCTAACCTTGTACTTTGTCTGACAAGACAATTTTTCAGAAAAAAATTATAAATAACTGTTACGCTGGTCTATTGAAATGATTCTTTTTCAAAGTGTATTTAGGGTATGTATTTTCTTTCTTGCTTAGGTTGGCTTCTGTAAGCCAAGGAAGCTTTTTATATTTTTTTTTTTTGGGGCACTTTCACTTTTCTTTTCTTTTCTTTTTTTGTCTGCGTTTGCTGTACACTTGAAGTAACATTTGCCATCCTTGATTATGTTTTAAAAGATACTGGCAATATAATTATGTTCTTAATTGTTCGGTGGCTTGGTTAATTAATTTGTCATCAGTGTCAGTTGATATCTGTTCTTTGGCGTTTCAAGTAATTGTCTGATGGCAATAGCTGCCCCTAAATTCTACTTAGTGTTGCATGTTTTCTATGAGATAAAGTTGATTTATCATTGACAGTGTTGCCGCTGAAACAGGCCAAACCACATTGCTGTATAACTGTAGGGAACTTGGGTTTGTTTTTCATGGTGGGACTGATAGAAAATAAAACAAAGGGTTAGCGACTTGGAAGTTGGAACGAAAATTTCCACTGTTTATGTATAAACCCTTGATATACATATTTAGAGGGCAAAAGGTCTCTGCAACATACACCACGCAACTGCTAGCAGGAAAATTCAAGGGTATCAGAAGTAGGATAACATATAGGATGCTCTTTTTGTAGTTAATGAATGTGAATAATCTGTTTCAGCTTCCAAGGGTTGGTTTGTTTCAAATTGAGAGGTTCTCCTGCTAGTGAATTTAGGGATTTCAAATACTTTCAGATTTTTTTTGGTAGTCATTTTTTGTCCTGCTTTTGCTCTTTCGCTTTGCATATTGGATAGAATTCTTTCAACTACTAGTCTACTACTACTACTTTGAGGATAATCTTACGAGAAATTGTGTGCGTGTGTTGATGCCTATGGACATATAGCATTGTTCAAAGTTTTTCTGTTCTAACCCTTCCTGTCATTCCCTTTGTGGCTCTAAATTTTTCTGCTGAATTTTGGAAAACGTTTTGCTGAATTCAGTTGTCAGGAGATGTTTCTTCAGTAATCAAAGCTTTGGAGGAGATAGCTTGTCAACTAAGGTCTGATAACGGACCTCGATATGCTTATTATTAGTGTTTGTCTAACATTGCTCTTGTGAATTAGTTTGTAGCTGCATATGACTTTAATGCAACTTTAAATTTTTAGGGAAAACCCCCCTCGACAAGTGATTTCTATCAGCCCAACATACAATTATGCTGCAATACGACCACCTCAACCATATCTTGACCCAACTTCAGGTTATTTAACGTTCTATGTCATAATACTCCTAGCTGTCAGTTAGCAGTTGTATCAAGTTTTGAAATATTGTCTTACAACATCATCTTTAGGACAACCAATCTTGCAGCTGATTATGTTACCTTTGAGATGCTGATTTCGGAGACATTGGTTGGTGGGCTGATCGGCAGATGCGGCTCAAACATTTCGAGGATCAGAAATGAATCTGGAGCAACAATCAAGGTTAGATCCTGTACTGCATTAGACCTGTTTGTTGTTGATGTAATTGATAGTTCAAGACATTTATGTTTCATAAAATCATAATTGTTGATGGTGCCTCCCAGTTACAGTTGGGTCTCTTGGAACTTTGATATAGTGTCCTGTTCTGCGTAGTGCAATGCAGTGCACATAACTTTGTGATTCAAAATAAATATAAAAAACGTAGAAATAAAAAACACGCTACTTTCAATCACCTTAACAATCAACCAAAATCCAAATGTTTAGAGCATAAATTGCTTATACAAGAATATCAAACATTATTATTATTATTATTATTTTGGGAATACGAATGTCAAACATTTCAAAACTGAGATTTAATGAGAAAATTGAAATCACTTGATGAACAATAGTCACTTTTTTGAAGAGGAAATAAGGAGGGGTTGAGGGTGAAAAAAAAAGAGAAGACTGATAGAAAAACAAAGAATTACATGATAGAAAGAGACCATATCAGAGAAATACAGTGATGGAGGAATGAAGAAAGGTTGAAGCAAAGCCATGAAAGAGGAAATGGGAATACTTGAACAGAGAGAGCTTGACAGGGAAGTATGGTGATCAATGAATGATCAAGTATTTGAACAAAAAGTGGAAGAAACTGGTGAAAGATAGTAGAATTCACAATTTACCAGAATTGAAGATGGACTTCAGAAGTCTGAGGAAGGGAGAAATGGGGCAAATCTGATGAGGATGAGGGCTGAAGTGGGTGAGCTGTAAATTAAGCCTGCAACAGAGACCAGTTTTCAGCCTTTCAGAAAACATGGACCAGTTTTCAGCCTTTCAGAAAACACAGGCATGAACGAATTAGTTATTAATATTTTCAGCCAACAAATTCTGGTGCACTGTGACTTGTACCGTCTATCACAACATTTTAAAAAAGGCAATGTCTCGAGTATGAGATAAATGATCGTTATTTTATTGCATTCATTTACTGTTCATTTTACTTTTACTATTTCTGTGCTTGAATCTTTCTGTTAGATTTTCTTCTAATAAATGGTTTATGGAAAATGTTTCAGGTTTATGGGGGTAAAGGTGAACAAAAGCATAGGCAAATTCAGTTTGGTGGTAGTGCTCAACAGGTGATTGTGTTTGTTACTGATAATTTAGCCTTTTGATGCACATGGAAGCATAAGAAAGCCTGTATTGAAATTTGAAACATTTCTTTTGTCAATGTATTTTCATTTTGGTAGGTAGATTTCATGGCTTAGATACTGGCTAGGCCCTCTTTAGCAGATGAATGGATAACTGACTTGAGATTCATGATTGGATGCAATAAATTTGGACTAAATGTGCAGATAAGACCTTATGGTTTCAATAGAAATATCAAATAACCCCTCTCAGTAAAAAAATGTAAACAAGGAAATTGGATCAGTTGTATAGATCGTTGGGTTTTGTTTGTGGGAACTTGATTCAATTGTTTTAATTGGTGAATTGTCTTTCTTTCTGTTGTTTTTGTTTTTGTTTTTTGTTTTTTGTTTTTAACGGTATGTGTATTGTATTATCAATGAATTCCAAAATTGTGGTTGTGTAGGAGTGGCTGAAAGTTTGAGCTTAATTGCAAAACTTGAAACACCTGGGGTTTATTTTGCTAGAATTTTATTTGGCACCTGTTCTCTAGTCCTAGAATTTTGATCCTCTAGGGTTCAGCATTAAGTGTATGTGTAAGACACTCGTGTGAATTAACTTTCCATTTTAAAAATAGAAGTAAAATCAGTGATTTATACTTGAGGAACAGTTGCCGCTTGTATCAATAAAATTTTGATTGTTGGTTTTTTCATTTATACTTGAGGAACTGTTGTTGCTTACATCAATAAAATCTCGATTGTTGGTTTTTATGTTTATAAAAAAAAAAAAACACAAATAAGTATTTTTACCTTTCGAGATAAGGATGCTAAGTGGATTTATTTTAATATGTTCAAGTACATTTTGGCAGCCCTGAGGAGTTTAACCTGTGCCATGCCATCCCTTATTGATTTGTTTCATTTGCAGATTTTTATAAATTAATATCATGTTTCTACTTTATTAAATTGGAAGGTTGGACTTTTGAACAGGTAGCATTGGCAAAACAGAGAGTTGATGAGTATATATACTCTCAGTTGATACAACAATCTGGCACCCAATAATCAGCGGAGGTATTCTTCAAAAGCTTTTCTACAGGTGCTTAAATGGGGAATGTGGTTATGTGGGTGGGGGAGGGAGACTTGGCAAATTTAATGTGTTGTCTTGTTATAAAGTGGCCCCTGTTCTACCCTAAGTAGATGATGACCGAAATTTTAGTTTGAGCCAATATAAACAATGATTTAGTATCAATCAGTTTTATTTTCTATTTACATAAATTGCCAGACCATGTTTTGCATTGAAAATTATCAAGCCATGTCCTATGCTTGGACAGGCAAGGAATAATTGATATGCCTCCTATTGAAAGGTACAGTTTAGCTTTTCTTTATTATACAACTAATTTATACCCAATCTATTCAGTTTCCGGAGAAGACAAACCTGTAAAATCAGGATCTCTAGTTCTCATCTATGCTTGCTGTGCCTTGAATCCAGCTTTCTTGCTTCAGAATTGGTGCCATCATGGATGTAAGTAGGATGTTTACCTACATAGTCACCATGTGTTTACCCTAGTGCTGACCTGTGGATAGAGTTTTTAGTTTTTCAAACTTTGGTTGTACCGTATCATTGTTTTAAATTAAATTAAATTTGAAAGTTTGTGTTTTTTGGGTTGTCTATAAATTATGGCACTATGTAATAGGCAAGGTTTCATGGATGTTTGGTACGGTTTTCAAGTGCTTTATGCCGTCTCTAACTATTAGTTTTACAATACAAAGTATTATGCAGATTATGATAAATGTTTGGTATGATATTGGGGATTGTGAGGAAAAAGTTTTCTTAATTAAATAGAAAATAGAAATTGTGGAATTACTGAAATTCCATATGCCATTTTTTTTCTTTCCCATCTTCCTCATGCGACAAGATTCGGGGAAGAAACCAGCAACAACACATTAGAAACCAGTTCAGTAACGCGAGATTCCACTCATCTGAGGTCTACACGACATTCATATTCCCAGAAAGATTGGTAAAATCCTTTACTTGAAAGGAAGATTGGTAAAAGCTAACGAAAATGCTAAATCTGAGAAAATGGCAGCATCCATACTTTAAATATATCAGGAACTCATTGAAACCCTAATGTAGGGGGATGGTTTGGTAGCTTCAAGATCAAGGTTCAAAAAGTTGAGAACTTAGGCTATGGTGCAAAATAAGGACGAGTGGAATGAGAATGGGGAGGGGGTTGGAATGGTTGGACCTTCCATTGTATGGCAAGTCAGGAGAGTATAATGAGTGATGAAAGAAATTAACACTAATGTGAGAGGAAAAAGTAGGTAAGAGACCAAAATGTCATTGTCTTCTCTTCCGGAAATGTTACAATTAAATTACTTTGAGAATTGAGGATTGAAACAATTTTCCTTTTCCGGATTCAAGCAAGTAAAATCAAAATTCTGTTTAAACTAACAAATGTTGCTCTAATTTGTAATAATTTGACCTATAATTTATAAGGTTGTAGGAGGTTTGGTTGATAGGTAATTTGTAAGTGATTTTTTAAGTTTGGAGGTATATTCTGGCCATGAGCTTTCTGGATCTAAGCCATGTAATTTTATTTTATTTTTTAAATAAATCTCTCGAGTGTTGAGGACCTCAAGTGAAATGTTGGGCAATGGGAAATCTCAAAAAAGCATGCCAACATTCTTGTTGCTCTGATAGGAGATATCTCGAAGTTTCAGTGGCATTAAGAACAAAACGAGCAAAATTAACTTAGTATATTTCTCAATCTTGAATTATAAGGATTGTCTTGCCCTAATAATTTTTCAGAATTAAGTCAGCATTGCACCAAAAAAAAAAAAAGTTTGGACTTGTGATTCTTGCTATTATGATGCGAATATTAGATTGTAAAAAAGATTTTATACTTTATTAATTTATTAGAACATATTAAAATGTCTAAAATGAACGACCTTTTAGAAAGTGAGAAAAAGTAAAAATGAACATTGAATTTAACACTCTAAGATTCTCTAATATGTACATTTAAAGATATCATTTCAACAATTGGGACTTAATATTGTCCCCAAAAAAACAAAAAAATTGGGATTTAACATGGCTGAGATCAAAATTAGTGAATCATACTAAATATCAGATAACTCTCACCCCAAAAAATATCATTTGAACAAGTTATGCTATTTACATTGGGGGACAATTTTGTTATTATGTTATTTATTAATTCATTCCAATTTTTACCCTGAATAGAGAAATCCAAAGAAATTGAGTTTAGGATGATTTCTAACTATTTGATTCTTTTCTAAATAAATATTACAAACGCTGGCTTGAATTGCATGTTATTTTTAAAATTGTTGTATCTGCATTGATTTTTTTTCTTAAACAAACCATATGTTATATGATATTATCAATCAAACTTCTTGCTTGATTGTAAAATTGTCTCTAATAAGAGAATATTTGTGAGCAATTAGAAAAATATGATATTATCAATCAATATATTTGAGTCAAATTGGGCATTGAAGGGAAGTTTTCTTTAACTTATTATATTATTTCATGCACAAGATTATTTGATCTTAAGATTAAGATATGACTTAATTAGTGTTGAGTTTCTTCTTATTCAGTCCCACTGTTAAGTCAACTTTTTTTTTAATTTCAAATAAAACAGGAGATGCAAACGTTTTTGTTTTTATTTATTATTTTATCCATTCATCTATTTTCTTATGACTCATAAGTATCCTCTTATTATAGGCAATTCTATTTAAAACACAGTTGATTACTAAACATGAGCATCTTTCTTAGTAAAAATTTGAATATTAATTTATCACATTATAAGAGATTAATTTTTTTTCATTAAATTCAATCTTGCTAATATCTATTCATTTATTTAGCTGAATAAAGAGAAGGCCCCAAAAAGGAAGTATTTCGATGCAGGATGCAAGGAAGGCTCGAATTCAAATTTCATAGTAGTCCATACTCCATAGTAGTAAACACTAAGTAGTTGCTTAAAAATGATAAAACATTTCCCCTGCACTTTTTTTAAAATGATTTTCCTAAAAAAACTTCTACTAATAAATATTATACACTTGTATCATTTAGACAAAGGAAACCCAATCAAATTTTTAAAAAACACATAACTTTTTTTATAACTTCTACAAACATCTCCAATTCTATCTTTTCTCTCCAAAAATGGACTCATTTTCTAATAAAACCAAACACGGTCCAGTAAATAGTAATGACCAGGATTTGCAGCTTTATCTTTCATATGCAGTCGCACAAATTCCAATGTCTATTTTCTCCCACATAAGATATAAAATTTAGGATGAGTCATTATCTACAAGTAAAAGTAATGCATCTGACTTTTCGCTCAGGTCTGCTGGAACATCTGGAAGACGCGTTGCAAGAAAATCTATTCTGGAGAAATCTCTCAGAATGTCGACATTGCTTTCTCCAGTACCCAACAAATCACCAATGACATAAGGCTTCAATCCAAAGTTAACCTCCTAAGTCATAATTGCAAAAAGCTAGAGGCACGCTGGACACTCCCAGAAACAGGCTGGATCCATCTTGACATTGATGGGGCTGTCAACTCTATCGAGCTGCTACTTGTGGTGGAATCATACGTGACGATAAAGGGAATTGGATCAAGGGTTTTTCCAAATAACTCGGCTATCATCCTAGCACAACAGCAAAACTATTAGGCATTTTAGAAGGACTTCAACTCTATTGGAATGCCCATTTCGACAAAATCAATGTTGATTTAGTGGAAGCACTTTCACTTATCCAATATAATTTTCCCGATAATCATCCTCTCTCTGGAATTATCAATAAAGTCAGAACTCTTGTCATGAAAGATTGGATCATTACCTTCAATCACACGTTCAGGGAAGCAAACAGATGTACGAACATGCTCGCTCACCTTGCATCTCGTGATAATCTCAACCTTACCATTTACAATCATCCACCTCTTGGATGCAGAGCCCTTATGGAATCTGACATAATCTGATTCTTCCTTCTTTTACATGATTTTCCCATTTCCTTGTATTAAAAAAAAAAAAAGTAATGCATCTCATTCATCAGAATTTGTGCAATATACAATAGAGCCAACCTGGTCTGCAAAATACAAAGTCAAGAAGCCCTAATCACCCATGTGTTGGGTTATCGTTTAATTCTTGCATGAGTAAATAAATAATAAGCCAATAGTCTCTGCAAAGTTTTTTTTTTTTTTTTTTTTTAACCTAGAAAGATTGACAAAGTAACTCACCATGTTTGAATAATTGCATTGTGAATAATAGAATGCCATTCGCCCAGCAAAGGATAGGTGTTCCCCAACTAAGATTGGGGGTGACCCAAACCTCAGCTGAGAATTAAAAAGTCTTTTAGATAAATTGATATATTGTTTGGACAAAAAATAGCTAAATGGGTAGTCAACTCAATCCAGCGCTTTTGCTGAAGCTATCCCAAGATGCTTTTTAATGTGCAGTGGTGGAACATTGGGAACTTTTATCCTAACTCCAGTTGGCAAATCTCAATTTATTCTAACCTTAGTTGGAATTTTTTTAATCCTAACACATCCGAACATGTTGCTTTTTTCACTTCTTTTGATTATGTCACCATATAATGTTAGTAAATTCAAGATAGACAGACAGCAAGTTTTACATTAAGAATGAAGAATCTCATTAGAAATTCAGAAATCCATTGGTGCAAAAACTGGGTCCAAAGAAAGGTCCAGGATCAGAACGACGTAGATGAAAATAAACAGAGCTATAATGCTACCCTTTCAGTTTACTCTAACAAGCTGAAGAAATGGCGAAAGAAGTAGTTCCTAACACAGAATTTGGGCTCAAAATTATTTTTAAGATTGGTTACATTTGCAAACAAATTGTTCCTTGCCATACACATGATCCTGGAATCATGATGACATGCATAAATAGTTAAATACCCCCTCCATTTCATATTATAAAGCCATTTTTGTAAAGTACTATTATCTTCTATCCTTAATATAAGACAAACTTAACTAATTTTATGCTTATTAAGAAATAATAATATATCCTTAAAATGGTTAAAAAATGTGTAATTTTCCAATTTCGCCCTTTGCAATTAATAAACATAAATTGTTGTCTATAAATTAAAATGATAATAAATAAATAAGGGGTAAAATTGGAAAGAAACATTAATTGCTCTATCTTTGCATTATATCAAGGACCAAAAAAAAGCTTTTAAAATATGTTTTATATTAAGAACCAGAGGGAGCACGAGTATATCAAAAGAACTTGTCCAGAAAAAAAGTAATCATTAGAAACAACTAATTAATAATGGTATTTAAGGGCAAAGTTGGAAAAAATTAGGTAGTTAACTAACTAACCACTTTTCTTGATGGGTGGGTGTTTGTTAAAATGACCTTACAATATGGAACGGATGAAGTAAAATTCTAACATAAACATCAATATGCACCAAACTAGAGTAGAGTTCATGACCAATACTGCACCTTGAGAATTGAGCTGAAATTGTTGCACATGGATTGATCCTGAAAGGGGCAAGGTTTGTCAAATCTTTGATACTAATGCAATCAACACCTGAACCGTTGAAAAACTGCCTTTCTAGTGGCTTCCACAAAGTCATCACAATTCTCAATAAACATGCTTTGCACCTGCATTATAAATGTCAAGTGTGCAGGGTTAATATTTTCAATGGGTTGCACTTGGTGCATTGCCCTAGCATAATTCTATAGTTAGAAAAACACAAGAAAGGTAAAAATGCTTTTTTTTTTTTTTACCAAAAGACAAGAATAATATTATCCATGAAGCTCTTACAGGCACAGTAACTAAGATAAAATCAAGTTTACCACAGTAACAAAATAAATATCACCAAAGTGATAACATTAGAGTGTCATTTAGGATCAAGTAAAGGACAGAAGTTACAGACCAGCTTAGCATATTTAGAGTTAATATTTCGAAGAGATTCACCCAAAATACTTCTTGTACTGCCAAGCAATTCTCAAGTCTTTATCCTGAAATTAAGCACGCATATGAAAAACATAGGGAAAAAAAGGAAAAATTATATTGAAGTCTCACGTAAAAAAAATTAATTACTATAAGGTTCAGTGACAAGTGAATTAAGGAGATTGACAATTGATTGTGTTGTCTATTTCCTTAATTCAGTTGTTAATGAACCTTATAATAATTAATTTTCTTGTATGGATCTTGGATGTAATTTCTCTAAAAAAATAATAAATATCAACATAATAATAATCTTACCAAGCATAAAAAGAAGAGTCATGATTTGCAAGATGTGGAAAAACAAATGATATTAAAATCTTGTCTCCCTCTTGGTCACTGAAGTATGACCAATAAAACATTATCTAGCATCTAATATGAACCAATATTTGATCTCCTGTTCTTCCAATAAAAAGTGTCCTAATTTCCTGGTAATGTCCTTGGCATATGACAATGAAAAAGTTCAACAAATGTGCAAATTTGTGATAATACAACAACAAGCCTTATTCCACTAAATGAAATTGATTGGATAAATTGTACGATATTATTATACTCTATTATTAATCAAGCTTTTGAAAATGTTGCTAATTAAGAGGTCTTGGTTAAAAATTTTTAAAAGTATTTGTTTTGATTTTCCTTTACCTCTTTTAATAGAATTCAAAGTTATCCATTTTATTTTTTTCACTGGTGCCTTCCATGATTTTTTTTATATATGTCTAAACTATTTCAATCGATTTTCTATCCTTTTTCCTTTAATAGATGCTACGCCTACTTTTTTTTTTTTATGTATTCATTTCAGATTGCATGTCTATATATCCATCTCAATATTCTCATCTCTACAAATTTGAAATAGTGTAGTGGGGAGACCCACGAGTTGCAATTTACCAGTACAACGAAAAGCTTAGTAAGGTAACTGGGAATAAAGGTTTGGATGAGATTGAGATGGTATTATATTTCACCATGAAACCAAAGGCAAATAATGTAACCGTAAAACTCATCCTTTGGAAAGGCACATAAGAAGTAATCATATTGTATAGACAGAACCACCACATCCCACCCCCCAACCAAAAAAAAAAAAAAAAAAAAATTGTGAGGAAAGCTTGACGCCTCAAAAATGAAACATCATTAAAGTAATTTTCCATAGTTTACTTACCCTCGGAAGAGAACTGGCTAATCACCATGAGTTTTCAAGTGAAAGAGTGGAACATCTAGTAGGAGTATGATACACATAATTACAATTTTCTCACATCGTTAATATGTCTATACAAATGTCCATGCTGCTTGTGATTCAAAAACAGAATGTAGGATTGTTTGACAATGTATGTATCTGATACACAGAATCTTATCAACCTTCGCTACAAAGAACTCATTTCTATGTATCTTTGAGCCTCCACCAGTCGACCATAACGTGTCAAAAGTCGGATCATTATAACATAGTGTTCTCTAGATGCTTCAATCTTATATCTACTCAACATTAAATTAAAGATACTACAAGCTTCATCAACAAATCCAGCTCCCTCACATAGAGATAGAGTTGCTTGGAAAGTGAAGTGGTTTGGAGAAAAACCTTTTGATTTCATCTGATAAAAAAGGTCAATTGCATCTTGATACAATTCATTATAACCGTATGACTTTATAAGAGCAGTCCATGTCATTGAACCCTTCACAGGGACAGCATCAAAGACCAACTTTGCTTTAGTAACATCCCCACAAGTCCCATACATATTGATAACTTCAGCAGAGACATAATGAACAGATGAAAGATCCTTTTTCAAGATCTGGCCATGAATCTCCTTCCCAAGCTTTGAAAGTTTGAGTTCACCACAAACACTCAGCATCCTCGCTATGGTAACTGAGTCTGGCCGCTGCTTTGACAATTGCATTGACCTAGTCACATTAAGTGCTTCATATAAATTCCCATTTTCTATAAATGAATCAATCATGGCTGTCCACAAAATCACGTTTCTGTGCTCCAAGTGATCAAATAGTTTTGTAGAGCAATCAATCATTTGGCACTTGGAGTACATTACCATCAATGAAGAGACTATAGATACATTAGGCAAAAACCCGTTTCTCAAGGAATAAGCATGAATCTCCTTCCCTTGTTTTAGAGCCCTTAACTCAGCACAAATTGGAAGAGCAGTAGCAACTGTGACAATATCAGGCCTGAACCCTTCTTGCTGCATCCAAATTGTAGATCTTAGTGCCTGCTCTAGTCTCCCATTAGTGGCATAACCTGACATCAGGGCAGTCCAACAAATGACATTTCTCTCCATTGAGCTATAAAACACTCGTCTTCCTGAGCTCAGGTCCCCACACTTGCAATACATATCAATTAAAGCAGATTGAATTGGTACTTGCTTAGAATATGATTTTGTTTTCAGTACGTAAGCATGAACCTCCTGCCCTAGCCTTCGTGCACAAACCTCACCAACCGCAGGAAGAATAATGGTCATTATAACTGAATTTGGCTTTCTTCCTTCCTCCACCATCCACCTTACATACTCCAATGCTTCCCTATGTAACCTGTTATGTGCAAAACCAGCAATCATTGCTCCCCACACAACAACATCTCTCTCAAGAGTTTCCTCAAACACACGGTGGGCAAGCCTAACCTTGCCACACTTAAAATACATATCAATCAAACTTGTCCGCAGAATTGAACTATCAACTAAACCATTCTTAATTAAAAGGGCGTGAGTCTTCAATCCTTGAAAAAGTGCAGGCGCACCAGCAATGCTTTTGATAACACTAGAGAAAGAGTATACATTCAATTCAATCCCCAATGCACGCATTTCTGAAAAAGTTGCAAGCACATTGCGATATTGCTTCTTACCAGAAATCACAGTTCCTCTAAGCAAGGCATTCCATGGATATACACTCCAACAAGAGCAATCCTCAAATAATTGTTTAGCTTCTTCCATTGAGCCACAAGATGTGTACATGTGGACAAGTTTTGTGCGTAAAAATTCATTTTTTTCTAGCCCATTAATCCGAATATGGGTATGAATCTCTCTTCCCTCTTTCAAGGATTTGGTGCGAATACAAGCAGCAATTAAGGTAGAGAATGTCGTGGGGTTCACAGGGATACCCCGTTGGTCCATGTAGTCCAAGATGATAAGAGCCTTTCGCAGCTGGTTCTCCTTAGCAAATTTCTTGATGTCCTTGTAGATGGAACGTGGGTTTTTGTTGTGGAGGGGTAATGATGAAGGGAATGCATCTTTTTCTGCAAAAGGTTTCACCTTCTCAGAGGAGAATTTGCGTATTTTGCAGTCAAGCGTTGGAGGTGCTTCACAAGAAATTGAGAGAGATTGAGTGGAAGCCCTGAACTTGAAGATGCGGAAATTGTTATGTTCGCCACTGGTTTTGGTGTTTGAGTGGAAACAATGGAACTGTAGAGATAGTGTTGTAATGGCTGAAATTGAGTTTTCCATGGACCTTATTGACAAGTGTCCAATTTAAAGTTGGATAGCAGCCAAATGATGCATCCAGCTTCCCTCCGCTACAGCTTCACTTCACTATGCCTCCACTGCAAGCAAACAACATCATTCTATTAAACAAAGCCAAACCCACACGACATATAAAGTATAAGCACCACAATTTATAGATAACTAACCGTCATCTCATGAAATAGTAACTCCACTGAAAGCAAAACCAGACCCCAAAACCATAGCAAATATAAGTTTAACCAACCAAACCCAAACATTGGAAATGTTACCAGATTAAAAGAAAATTGAGGTAAGAATTAGAGCCAACTAAACTAAATACTCATAAAAGTCTCAGTTTTATCTTTATAATGAAGTAATGAGGAAATATAGGTATCACACAACCCAAGAACCTAGAAGATCCATTGAAGACAAATAAAAAAAAATTTACCCCTGAACAAACAATAAACGAAAGAAATGACAATAAAATGACAAGATTTAACATTTTAGATCATATTTTACGAGGCTCCCTGATAAGATTCCGGATAAGATTCAGACTTATTCACAAAGGAAGAAGCAAAAGATAAATTAGGATTAAATTCATTTAATTTAGTATTTTAATTTTAGATAACTAGATAATTAGTTTTAGATATTTCTTAAGATTTTATTATTTAACTTTTTAGATTCAGATTTTATTTAGTTAGATTTTATGCAGTATTTTAGATTTTAGGAAATTTTATTTAGTTATCTAGATTTTATTCATTATCTTAAATAGTTATCTAAATTTTATTTTAGATTGTATTTAGCATCATAAATATGACTAGCAACCTTGAAGCTAGCATATGAGAAAATTAATAAACTGTCTTTCAAACCCTTTGGAGATTCTCCCAAGCGTGGCTATTAGAGAAATATAGAACGAGATTCTTATTCTATATCATCTTAATAGATTTATTCTTATTATTTCTTCCGGTTATTGTGAGCCCTATCAATTTGGCATCAGAGCCATGGTTACTACTCGTACGGGTCAAGAAACAAACCATCTTGACAATTCATCCAATCACTCCCCAAAAAATCAAGACTCGATAGTTTCAGATCTAGCTACCATAGCCTCAAGACTCGAAACTCTTGATTTATTAAAAGAGAAAATAGAAGCACTTGAAGCCTCTACACTTAACAAAGGCAAACATGCCCAAGAGGGCTCCCGCAGGCATTATTATGAAGATGAAAGTGAAGAGGAGCAAGAAACTCATAGACGTAGCAGATTTCATCGCACAAAAATTGAATTCCCAAAATTCAGTGGAGGTGATCCACGAGGTTGGTTTTTGAAGGCTGAAAAATACTTCAAATATTATGGCACACCTGAAGAAGATAAAGTAGATGTAGCCTCATTGTCTCTGGAAGGTGACGCCCTCGATCTGTTTGCTTGGATCAGCCATGAATGAACGCTTCATTATTGGGATGAATTGGCGTCAGCTTTTCAGGAGAATTTTGGACCTCCTGAGTACCAAAACCCCAACGAATTCCTGTGCAGCATCAAACAAGAAGGAAGCGTGCAGGAATACAGAGCAGAATTTGCCAAACAATCATCGCGAGTCAAGAATTGGCCGAAGCACTGCCTCCTCGGCGTTTTTCTGAACGGATTGAAGGATGACTTGTGTGCAGATGTACGTATTCACAAGCCAAGGAGTGTTTACTGAGCTATGAGTCTAGCACTGGAGTTTGAAGGGAAACTTCTCTCTCGTGGGTCCAAGCCGAACAGTCTACAGATCCAGAATCGATATACTTCTTCCTTTCCCTTCGCACGAGAACAGACGACTCAGGCCCAGAAAGCTTTGACAGCGTCTTCGAACTCGTATAGAAACCCAGCAACGTCTTCCAACAATACATCGTCGAGCTTGGCCAGACCAGCGTCCATGGACGCCGAGCACCTGCGCAGGAGGGAGAAGGGTCTTTGCTTCCGCTGTGGGGACCCATTTCGACCTGGGCACCGATGCAAGAGTTCATTCTCTTTAATGGAGGTCACTGAAGAGGGCGAAGAGATTATCCCTCCACTCGAAGACGCTGCACTCGAAGAAATAGAACCAAATGGAGCTGAAATTTCATTAAATGCTATCCTAGGCAGTAATTCTGGGTCAGCAATGAAACTTAGTGGAAGATTGGGCTCTCGACAAGTGTTATTGTTAGTGGATCGTGGGTCTACACATAATTTCATCTTTGATGCATTAATCCAGGAACTTCATCTACCTATTCAATCAATTTCTACTTTTGGAGTTCAAATTGGTGACAGTAGTATTGTGCGCTGCAATCGAATATGCAAAAATGTAGAAGTAGAACTGATAGGTCTAACCATTAAGGAAGATTTTTTCCCCTTCACTCTAGGGGGGGCTGATCTGGTTCTTGGTATTAAATGGTTAGCATCTCTTAACACAGTGCAAGCCAACTGGAATCAACTTTTTATGATTTTCTAGAAAAATGGTAAGAGGTATAAGCTGCAAGGAGTCCCTAATACCACTAGAGGTGCTCAACTTAACTCCATGCAACAAATTGAAGCTTCCGCTGACTCTAAATCTCTCCGATATTTCAACCCGGAACAATTAATTGCAGCTTTTCCATCAGTTTTTGAAGAACCCACAAACTTACCACCATTTAGAAAGCACTCACATACCATTACCCTACTACCAGGGGCCAGTCCTCCTAATTTACGACCATACAGGTATCCTCATTATCAGAAAACTGAGATTAAGGCGCAAGTTGAAGAATCACTAAAAAAGGGATTCATTCAGCCCAATTCCAGCCCATTTGCCAGTCCAGTCTTGTTAGTTGCAAAGAAGGATGGATCATGGCGTTTATGTGTAGATTATCGAAAATTAAACAGCATCACAATTCCAGACAAATATCCAATTCCTAATATTGATGAGTTATTAGATGAGCTACATGGGGCAATTTATTTTTCCAAATTGGATCTACAATCTGGATATCACCAAATTAAGATGGCACCTGATGATATTTACAAAACGGCATTTCGAACCCACTCTGGGCACTACGAATTCACCGTCATGCCGTTCGGCTTAACTAATGCTCCAGCCACTTTTCAAGCGGCTATGAACGATTTATTTCGTCCTTATTTGCGAAAATTTATATTGGTATTTTTTAATGATATTTTGATCTACAGTTCCTCCGTTCAACAGCACCAGGATCACTTGCACACTGTCTTGCAAATACTACAGGAAAATGTGTTCTGTGTCAATTTAAAAAAATGCTTTATAGAGAGGCCAGGAGTTCCTTTTTTAGGACACCAAATTTCTGCCCAAGGAGTAGAGATGGAAGCTGAGAAGGTAGAGGTAGTACGTGAATGGCCTATCCTAAAAAATGTCAAGGAGTTACGTGGGTTTTTAGGCCTTGCTGGATATTACTGACGTTTTGTGAAGAATTTTGGGATTATTGCTCGACCCCTTACTGAGTTGATTAAGAAGGATGCCTTCTTATGGTCTGAACCAGCTCAAAAGGCCTTTAATCGCTTGAAACTTGCATTAATGACAGCACCTGTTCTACACTTACCCAATTTTGAAGAGGAATTTACAGTTGAATGCGATGCATCCACTGACGGGATTGGGGCTATACTATTACAAAACGACCACCCCATTGCTTACTTTAGTAAAGGGTTTTCCTTCTCTAACCGCTTCAAGTCCACTTATGATCGTGAACTCCTTGCATTAGTACTGGCAGTGCAAAAATGGCGTCATTACCTCCTTGGGAGGCATTTCTTTGTTAGAACAGATCACGCCAGTCTTCAATATTTACTCCAACAACGTATCACCACCAACACTCAACAAAGATTGATTATCAAGCTTTTACCATTTAATTTTACTATCATCTACAAAGCAGGAGTGGAAAATAAAGGTGCTGATGCATTATCAAGACGACCGCAACACGCAGATTTTTTTCAATTGGCAGTCCCCTTCGCGCCTGAGCTACATGACCTCCCTTCTGAATTGGCCTTAGATCCATTCACTAATGCAATAATGCAAGATTTGCAAAACGACCCAACATCCCGTCCTAGATTCCACCTGGTTAATCAAAAACTTTTCTATGATCACCGAGTAGTCATTCCCTATTCATCCCAATTACGACCAAAGTTACTAGCAGAAGCCCATTCTACTACCATTGGAGGACACGGCGGTTTTCTTAAAACATTTAAACGTCTCTCGGAGAATTTTTATTAGCCGGCAATGAAAGCAGATGTGAAAGCATATGTGCGACATTGTGCCACTTGTCAGCAAAATAAGTATCAAACTCTGGCGCCAGCAGGCCTTCTTCAACCCTTACCAGTACCCTCTCAGATTTGAGAGGACATCTCAATTGATTTTATCACAGGTCTTCCAAAGTTTGGTGGGTTTGAAGTTATTTTGGTAGTGGTGGATCGTTTGAGTAAGTATGCTCATTTTCTTGCTCTTTCACATCCTTACACTGCTAAGAAGGTTGCCACAGTCTTCTGTGAGGAAATTATCCGCCTACATGGGGTACCTCGCTCAATTATCTCTGACCGGGATCCTATCTTCATGAGCTCGTTTTGGCAAGAGTTATTTCGATTAAGCCAGACCCAGTTGAAGATGAGTACTGCTTACCATCCTCAAACAGATGGTCAAACAGAAGTGGTCAATTGTAGTCTTGAAGCCTATCTGCGATGTTTTGCACACGAGCAACCCAAGTCTTGGCACAAGTTCCTTTGCTGGGCAGAATACTCATACAACACGGGTCATCATACGTCAACCAACCATTCACCTTTCAAACTAGTATATGGGAGAGATCCTCCTCCTCTACTTCCTTATGTGAAAGGAGAAACACCTGTAGCTGACTTAGAAGATCAACTTGAAACTAGAGATGCAATGATCCGACTTTTGAAGGATGATCTGCGTAAGGCTCAGGACCGAATGAAGGCTTATGTTGACAAGCATCGAAAGGAAGTCGAGTATACTGTGAGTGATGTTGTGTGGTTGCGAGTACAGCCATTTCGTCAACAGTCCCTTACCAAGCGAAAGTTTGAAAAATTATCTCCGCGCTTCTTTGGGCCCTACAAGATTCTTCGAAGAATTGGCAAAGTAGCTTATGAATTGGAACTGCCAGCAGACGCTCGTATTCACCCTATTTTCTATGTATCCCTCTTGCGCCCGGCTTATGGGATGGATCTACCGCTTGCACCAGCTGCCTTACCATTATCAGCTGATTTTGAGTTACATGTACGACCTCATCGAGTCTTAGATCATAGATGGACTCGTTATCATTCGCTTGAACTATTGGTGGAATGGCACGAGCGACCTGTGGTAGAAGCAAGCTGGGAGGACTATGACCTATTGCATGCTCAATTCCCTTCTTTTCAACTTGAGGACAAGTTGAGTTTTCAAGAGGGGGTAATGATAAGATTCCGGATAAGATTCAGACTTATTCACGAAGGGAGAAGCAAAAGATAAATTAGGATTAAATTCATTTAATTTAGTATTTTAATTTTAGATAACTAGATAATTAGTTTTAGATATTTCTTAAGATTTTATTATTTAACTTTTTAGATTCAGATTTTATTTAGTTAGATTTTATGCAGTATTTTAGATTTTAGGAAATTTTATTTAGTTATCTAGATTTTATTCATTATCTTAAATAGTTATCTAAATTTTATTTTAGATTGTATTTAGCATTATAAATATGACTAGCAACCTTGAAGCTAGCATATGAGAAAATTAATAAACTGTCTTTCAAACCCTTTGGAGATTCTCCCAAGCGTGGCTATTGAGAGAAATATAGAACGAGATTCTTATTCTATATCATCTTAATAGATTTATTCTTATTATTTCTTCCGGTTATTGTGAGCCCTATCACTCCCCACCACCTTGGTAAGAAAAAGGAGAAAATTTGGGACAATTTTTTTACATGTTTATTTAGATTCTCTAATCAAAATTTAAAATATTGACAAACCTCCAAATACATCAATCATACAACATTGAACTGAAAAAATATCAGTATTAATAAATCGCACTTAAAATCTATCCCAACACAAATAATACCTATACCCAAAGCTTCTAACAATTAAGATATAAACAAAATTTACTTACCTAAGATTGTCGTTAAGGTTATATTATATTAATTTTCCTTTAGAGACCAGCAGGGATGGATGCAAAATTATGAAAGTATATGCAGATTGCTAATAGGACATCATCAAAGAAGTGATAGCCAGATATTGAAAAAGATTAAATCCATCAACTTTAAATCTAAAGAAAAAGAGAGCTTGAGTAGTTTAAATGATCCCCTACACAACTTTCTCAGTTGCATCCTAGAAGGAACTGCATCATAAGGATGCTAGATGGCTAGAGCATATAATGTTGAAGAATAGCAGATTACCTACTTACCAATTTAGGATACAGTCAGTCATACAAAGCTTTAATCAAACCCGTACCATTTTTAATCACGTAGCTTTAATTGAAACTTACAATACAGTCATACAGAGCTTCAATAGAGATGTACCACTTTTTATCACAGAGCTTCAATCAAAACTTAGGAGACAGTCATACAGGGCTTCAATCGGAGCAGTAACCATTTTAATCAGAGCTTCAATTGAAACTTAGGATACAGTCATACAGAGCCAAAATCTAAACACCCATAGCCTCAATTGGTCAATCATTCAAGCAGAAGACACTCACCCGGATCTCACAGCAACAATCAAACCAGAATAAGAAAGGTAATGAACCTGGAGAATGAAATAAGCAAGAAGAGAGCCAAGAGAAAGAAGCAGGCAACAACTAGGACAGAACTCGAACTGAAAGTGCTGTTTGAGCAACAGCAAAAGCTTGAGCTGAACCACAACAAAATGCAAATCCCAATGGAGAACAGTGAGTCTGAGCCTTTGAACAATGTGTCAGTGACAGCAATGCTGTGAAGCAAGAATGACAATGGTGAGGTTCAATTTCAGAATCAGAATGAAGGGAGCAAGAACCAAGGAGCAAAGGCTGAATGAGTTTGGATTTGGTATGAAGGTGTTCATAGCTCATATTTAGGGTGGGACATGGGCAGGGTTGGACCGGGTAGGATAGCTGCCCATTGACCAACCCTAAACCCCCTTCAAGCATAAAGTTGAGCCCAAAGGCCAACCATGTCTGAAAAATGCCCTCAGTTAGAAGGGCCGGGAGGCAAGGTTGAGATGCTCAGGTATCTTTGGGCTAAGATGCCTAGTATGGCCCTTGAAATGATTTTTTTTTGGAATTAACAAAAAAATAAATCTAAAATTGCAGCAAAAAATTACAACAAAAATTATAATAAACCTTTAAATAATATAAGCATACTTTGTGGCCTAAGAAACCTTTAACATAATAAAACACACAAAACATAACAAATACAAGGAATGAAGCAAACATAAATCAAGACTATTGTTCAAACTTCAAATAATTGTCCAACTTCCAGTTCAAACGGTACAAACAAAACAAGTAATGCAACAGAGGAGATTTGTGCAGAATAATTACAAGACTGTTGGTAGAACAAAATTTTTAAAAAAAAAAAGCAGAGGAGATTTATGCAAACAAGATTTATACAAAAAGAGGAGATTTATAAGAAATAAGAAATTTGTATTCTATGCCATCATAATCTACCAGGGCCTTTGCACAAATCTTCTAATGAAGAATGTAAAGAACCTGATGAGAGAGAGAAGTTGAGAAGAATGAGAATTTCTAAAGCAAATGAATAAAGGCAGAAAGCACAGTCAACAACAACAACAACAAGCCTTATTCTACTAGGTGGGATCAGCTATATGAATTGTATGATGCCACTGCATTCTATCATTTATCAAGTTTCTAGAAATATTGTTAACTAAGGTTTCGATCAACAACTTCCAAAGGTATTCTTTTTGGCCTTTCTCCACCCCTCTTGACAGGGTTTAAAATTATCTATGTGTATCCCGTAGTTTTCTTTGTACATATCCAAACCATCTCAGATGATTTTCTACTATTTTTTCTTCAATAGGCGCAACGCCTAGTTTTTCCTATATGAGCTCATTTTGGATTTTATTTCTACATGTATGTCCTTACATTCATCTTAACATTTTCATCTCTGTGACTCCAACTTTATGATTTTGCTGTTTCGTTAAAACTCAACATTCACTATTATATAATATTGTTGGTCTTATAGCAATTTGATGAAACTTCCCTTTTAAGTTTGTTTATTAGTATCTTACGATTACAAATAACTTTTTAGTTTTTAGTCAATTTAACCACTCAACTTATATCCTATGTGAAATATCTCGATCAATTTAGATTGTCCTTCTTTACTTTCCTATGACTTTGGTTTCTATTTTATGTTGTTCTAAGATTAGCTCAAATGTTAAAATTCTGAGCGGAGACCTTGCAAAAAATCTGAAAAAGGCACGAATCAGAACTCACAAGGCATTCAGCCATTCACCAACAAATTAAAACCACAACAGTTTCGAACTCGAACAACCATGAATCAGCAAAAAATGAACATAATGGGGGCAGCGAAGTCAAAGTCACAAAATCAGCCAAAAAAGAAGAAGAAGAAGAAGAAGAAGAAGAAGCAGAGAGTCAGCGACGTCGAACATACCTTGAGCAGCAAAGACCGAAGAGGAAAGACGAAGTCGAAAATCAAAAGTTGAAGACGAATTCGAAGTCGAAGATCAAGAGTTGAAGACTGCGAATAAGTAAAGACAAACAAGATAAGGCAATATCCAACGGATGAAAATAATTGCAGAATAATATAGAGGAAAACGAAAAATTGACTTAATATGAAGAAAATCAAATAAGAAGACAAAGCTTTAACCAAGAATAGAGGTGAAGAACTGAAGATATGGAAAAACAGAAACTAACGGTGACCTTGGAGGAGATAGGAGAGAGAGACGACGATGACCAGAAGAAGAGATTGGCCGAACTCGATCTGGGTCTTCGGAGTTTGAAACTGAGAGTGACCAGCGAGATAGAATTGGCTTGCGAACAGTAGTTTCTATAAGGCTACGTGATTGTAAAATCAAAAAGCTTTGCCCTCAACCCTTTTCCATCTATGCTCCTCCTCTTCGTTCTGGTTTGAGTTAAAGAATTCCAGTTCAAAAAAAGTGAATTCAGAAAGCAACAATTCCATTTCAAAAAATTATTACATTCAGAAACAAGAAAGAAAAGTAAAAGTGGCCACGTCACAGAGAAAGAAAAACCAGAGAGACACCAACCAGCAATGTTCACGGCTTCACATTAACGTCATTTCATCCATCAGAACAACAAAGCCAGCACCCATGGAGTAACAGAGGAGACTGAGGGAAGGAGGCCAAGGAAGAGAGAAGTGGAGGACGAAGAATCTAACGACTTGAAATGCTGGCCGTTTCGTGAGGGAAGAAAATGAAGAATGTTTCAGTATGGATGGCCAAAATAATGTTTCAGATGAGGCAAAGGAGGGAAGATGGATCGAGGATATTTGTCAGAGGTGGGATTGGCTGATGTCATTTGGGTGTTTATAGTGGAAAGTAAATATTTTTATCCATTTGGCTCAACCCTAAACTTTGGAAGGAGGGATGTTGTTTTAGGTTATAATCTACAGGAAAAAAATAATAATTTTTTAAAAATATATAAATAATAATTTAATTTTTTAAAATGTTATAATTTTTTTTAAAAAAATTTATTATTAATAAATTTATATAAATTATTAAATTGTTCTTATTAAAAAATAAATGATTCATAAATTTTGTTTAAATATTCACAATTTATTTTCAACAAGGACAATTTAATAATTTATATAAATTCATTAATAACAGAAAAGTCGTTAAAGATTTTAGGAGAATTATAATATTTTAAGAAATCAATTATCATTTATATATTTTAAAGAGATTTTATTATCATTTTTTCTAATCTTTAAAAAAAAATCTACCAGTACTTTATTCACTCAATTTCTATAATTTATCTTATTTTAATTTATCTTTTTAAAATATTTTATTTTAAATTATATTTTTATTAAATATTTATATAACTTTAGAATTAATTACATAATTTTTATAATTCAAAATTTATATAATTAGGCTGTTTTTTAAATATTTTTTATACATGCAGAATTTTCATTAAAAAATAATAAAAATGTAAACAGTATATTAAATTAATTTTTTTATTTTGGCTAAAAATATTAAATTAAATTTTTTTGTAAACTTCAAAAGTAGTTTTTTTGTGAAATTTATATTAATTTTAACTTTCTGGGATTAACATATATAATAAATCAAATAATAAGAGCTTGATTAAAATAAAATAAACTCTAAGGACTTAGTTTTAAATTGAGCAAAACTTTTAGGACGTATACATTAATTTTCCCTAATCTTTACTTGAAACTTCATTGATTTGCCTTGGGTATGTCTAAAATGTTTGCTGCAGCTTGAATTTGTGGTTGCGTAGCAAGTTTATTTGTTTTTCTATTTATGAATGAATTATTGTAAATTTTTGGGATATTTTTTTGTATAAGTAATCTAGATATTGCTTGACTAACAAATTGTTTTAGCTAAAAAAAAAAACTTAGGTGACAAGGATTTTATGTGCAAAGTTAATGAGTTTTTTTTTGTTTATCATTTTAAATTCAAGATTCTTACTTTAAAAGAACTTTTTGAAAGTAATTTGGAAATTTTCCTAAATGGTGGAAATGATTTGTATATATGGATTTGAGATTTCATTTGAATGATTTTGAATGGTTGAAGACATTTAGGAAATGTTAAATTCAATATTTTGGTGTATTTTCCATACAAATTTTCAAACGCATGAAGATGGAATTGGCATGATTTTTGACTTCTTTATGATATTTGAATTATGGAACTTTGGTTGTGATTTGGGGTTGTTTGTGATTGTTGTAAGGTGTTGAATTATAGAATTCTTTGTAAGAAAAATTGGAGATGGGGGGCAGTGATTGATTTGGGACTTAACCCTTTGTTTGGCATGTGGTTTGAGGCTTTTTAACAATAAGTAATTATTGAACATGGTTGGAGATTTGATTGAATATTGGATGGATTATTTGGACTTTTGTTAGATTGAAACTTGATTTTTGTATTTGGATGGCGTGCTTGAACTATATCGGTGCTGACTTTGATTTGTAAATCCTGGACCTTGTTCCTCGATTGATCTTGGCAATGGTATTATACCGAACTTGGACTTGGCTTGCCCTTTCTAACATGAAGAATTGAGATAATGAAGATTTAATTCTTGTTGTACAGTGTACATGCATGGTTTTTCATTTTGGACATGTTATGAGACATGTTACTATTTGAATGTAAATCATTTTGTGAATAAACATAAAGATATTTTATTGGGTATGAATTTCCTATGTCTACAACTGTGAGTGTAATATTTGAAAGGTATATTGATAGTTGTACTTTGAAAAGAATCAAATGAAATTATAATTTGAATTGAATACATATTTTAGTATTTGATATGAGTAAGATCTATTGTATTATGTTATAGGGGAAACCTTTGAGTTTTTAAATGTTTGAGATAATTAAGGGATCTCTAACTTATACTATTGCTTGTTAGATTAGTTTAGCTTGTTTTGTGGACATGCTTAACGTGAATTCATTTGAATATAAACTTAATTATTGTTTTACAAAATAAAGGCAAGTGGGTTTCATAATTTTTCATTAAAGCTTTTTATGTTTAAAATGCTTCATATAGTTGAAAGATTGTATTATGGAATGCTAGAGCTTTATATGCATGCTTGTGATAGTTTAACTATATTGTTATGCATGCTTGAGTACTATAATTATGCATTGAGATATGAATATTCATGGTAGTGCCTTGTGCATGGTTGCATGATCATGATTTAGAAAGGAGGATGCCCTATAAGGAGTAGATTATTTTTTCACGTGAAATTATATAACCAATACCATGAGGTGGCCTCAGCGGATGGTATTCATGGGTTGGGTCTTCCTGAAACTCATATCGGAATGGGTGCAAGCATAGGTTGCCTAAATCTATTGCCCTTAATATCACCCTGGACTGGATGTGGGGTAAGGTATTGCAACACTCTTAATGGAGTCAAGAATTAGGGGAATCTATAGTCTAAGATTGAGTGAGGCATCTTTGGTTGAATGACTCCTCATGATTGGAGAACTTAGGTTAGTCCACTCACATGAACTTAGTCCTATTAAGTTATTAGCCTATGAAATTCAGTCAGCAGTATATGGAAAAGATAAAGAGATATTGATCATGTATTTGTAATATCATGAGATGTGATATTGAGATATTATGATGTTGTACTTTATGTTATTGAATGTGGTTTTTATAAATGCCTTCTTTATATGCCTTAATTGAATTGACTTACATGTGCGTGATTTAGAGCTTTCCTTAATTACTGAGTGGTTGTACTCACACCTATTTAATATTTTAGAGGCACTAGCTTCAGCAAAGAAAAGGAAAATGCATTTAAGGCTTAGGAATTTGAAATTCCCACAATATAGCCTCTTTCTTTGTTTATTTCTTTATGTATAATATGATGATTGTTAAATTGCCAAGTTAGGACATTTATTTTGGGTTACTTGTATCATTGCATTATTTATGTAATTGATAGTTGTATATAGTGCCTTAGTCTTATGATATTTGCTGTTAAAGTGAAACAGAGCCTAAATATTGGTACAAGTAGGTTTAAAGTTCATTGTTATTACTTTTGGGTATTATAATGAGATTAAATAATGAATTTATGTTATATAAGTCTCCCCTATGGTTTTTGTTGGAATTAAGGTTGAAAAGTGAAAATATGATGCACGTGTAATATTTGTGATGTGGTGCATTATATAGGTTGTCTTGAGTCTTGGGGACTTGGTTTAGGTGGGTGTTTAGGCTTCTAAAACTTGGTTGAGGTCTTGGATACCTTGGAAGTGTTTAAGTGTGAAAAAGGAGTAAGTTTGGCTCTGGGTGTTAAATTTTTTATTGTGATAAGATCTTGAAAAGAAACTAATGGCAATAGTTAGCACTTGAGATGAGCTTTTTGTGGATATCTAGATTATCCTGATTGAATGTTGGATGAAGGCTTGGGGTGTGTCAGAAGTTTGTTCCTAGTGTTATAGTTTGACAGCACTAATGATGTCATTTCTTTGCAGTATGCCATGGTGGATGGCTCCTTTGCCATAGCGGATTGCCTTGTCGTTGTTAGCCATGATGAACTTGTAATTAGCTGCGATGGATCACTCTATTTAGAAAAAATAGATTTTAAAACATCATTTTCAATGATTTTAATTGTCAAGAAAATGTTCATGCTTCCATTCATTTTTGGGACTTTGATACGTGCTTGTTTGATTATGAGATGCTACAAAATACTTGTTCCACTTGGAATCTCAATTGAATGGTTTAATTTCACTTATTTAAATGAGTTCCAATATTTTTTAGTATGCTAGTATTAAGTAAATGGTTTTTAATCTTGTATACTTTGATTTTATTCTACCATAACAATTTCTATGTTTGTTTGCATATTCTAGTCATGCCATTATATGCATGCCTTTATATGCTTGATTCATTTAACCATAGTAGACCTTAAACCCAAGTCTTTTCTTTTCTACTATGATTAATTTTCTTTAACTACTGTTAATTTCTTTTTACCATGGTAAGATGACCAGGATGGTTGATTCCTAATTATCGTGGCAATAATTGGTTTTAAGGTTAAGTCTTGTGGGAAAATTAGTTAATATTGCATTACATGATGCAACTAACATGCGGTTGCTAAGTGGATATTCAAGAATGATTTCACAAACATATATTATCCAAACAACGAAGACAAAATCATTATTGTAGGACAACACCTTATACATCATGCTAGGTGTATCGTCAGTTTTGACATTACCAATAATCACCACAACCACAATATACCACATTAATCAGGAGCTATTAATTCCCTCCTAAGCTTATCAAACTTACAAAAGTTAAATTGATTAAATAGTTAAAATACAAATGGTAGCCTTTAGGGTAAAAAAAAACATTCAAATATATAGTTTGAGCTCAAATTTATTGAAATTTAAAAATATGAGAAGTATGGAAGACAAAGGAAAGCAAAATACAAAAAACAAGGCCAAGACATCATTTTGGCGTATTCTAGCATAAATGTTGCATGTAACATCCAGAAAAATTTAAAATAATCAAAATAATAGATATAACTATGTAAATAAATTATAAGTTTAAAATTTGAACTTTTAGTAATTAACTTGTCATTTTTTGAAATTATGCATCTCTCTTGTACTTATAAATTTTTTAATACTATTATGTGTCTTTTATGCCTTCTTTGAAATTAAGTAGATATATTTATTTAAAGAGAATTGGATAATGGAATATTTCAATAGGATTAATAATACTAAAATATATATGATATTCTTAGTATTCAATAATAAGAAGTAAGTTTTATAAAAATAATAATAAATAGTTATAAATAAATTTGTATGAATTGTCATAAAAAGAGCTTTTCTTTAAGAGAAAGC